CTCTCTCTCTCTCTCTCTCTCTCTCTCTCTCTCTCTCTCTCTCTCTCTCTATCTATCTATCTATCTATCTATCTATCTATCTATCTATCTCTGTGGTGTGCGTGTGTGTGTGTGTGTGTGTGTGTGGCATTCATGTACTGATGCTGGTCTCTGTTCCCTGGTGTTGGTCGTAGTCCCTGGCTGATTTTATCTGGTCCTAGGTGTTGCCAATGTGGACATTATGCCGTCGGTAATTTATGCAGAAGCCAGCTGCTGAGTCAAGTGATGCTTTGCTTGTCGTGGTGACACTTTTCCATTCTCCACAGACTATCTTCTTGGAAGATCTTTCACCGATCATCAAAACCCATGGGAGTAAGATTACTGATTCTGTAAGGTGAGACCCCAGGACTTCTTACCTGTTTCTTTATGACCTCACACTGGCTCACTTTTTTTTTTTTTTTTAATTATTCCTAGCTTCATATGCTGTGGCAGGAGAAAGAGAATTTGTGTGACAAATTTCGATGAAACTTTTTGGCTCCGAACTTCACAAACTTCTGGTATCTGTCTTGGCATCCCTGCAACTCTACCCCCGCATTTCTCACATTCAGTCATCCCTCACCCTGGGCTCAGTGGTACAGAAGAGAAGCCCGTCGTCACCCGAATTGAATGTACACGGTTGGTTTCGCACTACAACTGCCATTCAGGAGGTCATGGGTTAAATTTCCCACAGCCGCCTGCTGCGTGCTTGGTGCTCACCAGCTGAGACAGTTGGCTTGCCCCCCCCCTTAGTCAATCTTGGTAGGGGCGTGGTTTATTCCAGAGGCCCTTGCCCCTACCATTCCGTGCTGGGGGTTAGCTCCTACGTCTGGTAAATTTTGGCTGTTCCCTGTTCCTAGTAGGTCACTGGTCTCCGCTCCTTGTAAATCTCTGTTGGCATAGTGATGTATAGGTGGGCAGAGTGAGCCGTACTTGAGAGAAGCATATAGCTTTGTTAAAAAAAGAAGAAGAGGGAAAAAAAAGAATGTACATAGTACAGTCATTACCTGTGTACCTGGACTGGAAAGCCAAGCACAGCAGTGATAATGACCATACGTTCTTTTCTGGGGAAGACGGCAGCGAAGTACTCCAACCAAAGGAAAGGTGAAAGAAAGGAATTCCAAGATGAAAATGTGAGAGGACTATCGATGGAGCAGCTATGGGCCCAAAAGCAGCCCCAGGAGGAGGGTGTATGGGATCAGGAGAATAACCCCCCCAGAAACGAGAGATAGACCCCTCAAATAAACGACATGAATCACACTAAGGTTAAACTCAGCGCAGAACGAGTCATAGGGTGGTAGTTTTCGACCGAGTCAAACGTTTGGGGTAAGCAATCCTTATCCTCCTTCCTCCCCAAAAGGCGCCAGAAAGTCCTCAGGTCTCTAGGCCAGGTCTCTAGGCCTGGGGTCAAGGGGTCAAGAGGCAGACCCCCAAGGCCTCTAAAGGTGAAAGCAGGCCCTACGAAAGTCAACAGTCAGGCCCCAACTTACATGCAAGAGTCAAAGAGTCAACGATTTCTCAGGAGTCGACCACGGCAACAGATTGCATACATACCCAAAGACTGAGTGCAGACTCTGGAAGCTTCCAAGGCCCACTGGGTCCAGTCACAGGCTTGCGGCAAGAAAATCTTGGCCGCACAGACTGGGAAATCTCAGGCAATCGAGGAGGCAACTGGTGGCAAGCTAGACTAAGTCAACACTACAAATACTGGATGTGCCCCAGGTGGTGCATTCATTCTGCCTTGTGCTGCTGGAGTGCTGCTGAAGCACTAGCACTGGAGAAAGGCAAACGGAGAGGGAGAGGGAGAGTGTGGAGCGGGAGTAGCCATAGCCAGGGTAGATAGTGCGTTGGACCATAGCTTAGCATGAGAAAGAGAGAGAGAGAGAGAGGGAGGGAGGGGGAGAGAGAGAGAGAGAGGGAGGGAGAGAGAGAGAGAGAGGCTTACCTGGACTTACCTGGTGGTGTTGCTGTGTTTGAAGAGACAGTGCGTTGCTTCAGAAGACCAGCATTGCTTGCACTGGTGCTATTTTTCTTTGCGCCAGATTGATGTTGGCAAGGTGCGTGTGAGGGACATACAGGTTTCATCAGTAGAGGGACAGGTTGATGACTGTGAGCTAGCTAGGAAGAAGGCGCGTCCTTCCCTCGAATAGAACGCCCAGTCATGATGGCTGTATCTAGACTGGAAGTTGCCCCTAATGCAGTTATGATGACCGGGCATTCTACTCGAGTGAAGATGGTCATAGGCACTGCATTCCGGAGTCTTCCGGTTCTGGTCGTTCGCTGCAGGGTCTTAAAGCACCAGTACTTGGCCCATACATCGGCCGCGGGGTGTTGTCGTTAACGCCCCGCAACTTCCGGAGACCCGGGGTACCTGACCTGAAAGGCTGGCGCCGCCAGCCAAAACTTTTTTTTTTGGTTGCACTGGCGGGTCGGCACGAGACGCCGCGCAGGCCGTTTTCAGGCTCAGCATCGATAGCTGGGCCAAGTACTGGTGGTTTAAGCAGCCCTGTCCCTGTCAAGGCGCGAGGATGCCTGCGCTCCTTCCGACCCAAGCTCAGGCGCTACTGGTCCTCTGCTGCCCACCGAGCCTCTTGCAAGGCGTATTACTCACCCCCCCCCATGGGTGTGAAGCCCTCTGCAATATGCTTCATTCCTTCCAGAGCTCTCCATTGAGAGTCGTCTTGTACCCTGTCACAACCTGGGGTGCATTCGGCATCAGCTCCTTTTCTTTTTTGCTTATGCACAAGGGCTTGATTTTATGTTGAAACATCACATGCTCGCAGATGTGGTCGCTACCTTGGTGAAATATCTGCATTTGGGCCAGCATTCTGTCCAGGTGCCATGATAACGTATGTGTTCGGAGATGTAGATAGGTACCACTTCGTGTCATCTAATAAGCTCTCGATCAAAAGCACACGGGTTGTCGCTTGGGTCCATATGGTGTCTGAATCGAAGCCTGTACTGAACCTCGGGCTACTTGGGTGGTCATCCTGTCCCTGTTGGCTCAGCAACCAGCATAAACGGATGCTCAACAAGACGATCAACATTGACGTATCTGTGCATAGAGGGCGGTAAGGTGCATCTGCATGAGGGAAACTGACCACTCGTTAGTAAAGAAAAGTAACTGTTTAGCTGCATGAAAGAGTGGACAAGTAAGAATGTCAGGGGGAACATCCACGACATAAGTAAGGGCCATCAGGATCAATGCCTGCTGTCTGTAACACTATCCACGCCTCATAATGCAGCAGCTGCAGTTTTACAGGACTGAACCTGGGCGAGAGCGCCGACTGGAAATAGAGATGCTTTGTGTCAAAGGGCGACCGGAAAAAAAAGACACTTTGTGCCGCGACTTCTTTCCCTCATATGAGAGAAGACCATATGAAGTCCTTAGAACACCAGTATTCCGAGCCTCTTTTTGCTGAGGCAGATTTGCCGAAACGCCACATATCGGTCTGGTAACCCTGATCCTCCAAAACTTTCGGATTGGCTTGATTTTGACTCTTTTTTTTTTTTTTTTTTTCAATGATTTCAACTCTCAAGTTTGCCTGGCCGATGTATTGACGGTTTAACGTGGCCACGGACGTGATTTCCTGATATTGGGCCTCGCTCCACTACTCTCGAAATGTGCAAAATGTTAGTGAATCATGCACTCGAACATGGAAAGATGCACCGCCAATATTTTTCAATCATTTTTGTATTTTGTGCATGTCGAGAGTAGTTTAGCGATGCGCATTGGCTTGATTTCAACTCTCAAGTTTGCCTGGCTGATGTACTGGCTGTTTAACGCGGCAACAGACCGTTATTTCCCGATCGATGGTAGCCAACGTAGGCACTGCCGGCCTGCTCATGTGCTGCATATTCGGAACTTCTCCGCACACTACCATCTCACGTATCTGGTTGTCGAATTGGTGTGGATCTTCCAGACAAATGGGCAGATTTCACAGACGGGGACTCTTTTCTTTAATATCCGCTTGGTGACGAGTGTTGATCTTTCACATCGATGCCCAGATATCACCCAGGGCTTCAGCTCCCCACAGAGAGAGAGAGAGAGAGAGAGAGAGAGAGAGAGAGAGAGAGAGAGAGAGAGAGAGAGAGAGAGAGAGAGAGAGANAGAGAGAGAGAGAGAGAGAGAGAGAGAGAGAGAGAGAGAGAGAGAGAGAGAGAGAGAGAGAGAGAGAGAGAGAGAGAGAGAGTGGGTCGTTTGCTGTTCTGCGCATGGGCCACTGACTTTTCCCCAGGGCTTCAGCTCCCCACAGAGCGAGGGAGAGGGGCGTTTGCTGTGCTGCAAATGTGCCGCTGACTTCGCAGATGTCCGATGCAGTTGAGAAGCAGGCAGTGCCCGCTGGCCTTCTTCATTGACGTCCACTCTGCCTTTCATACCGACAATCTTCATCTCACAAACATGTGTAAGTTGTCCTTCGGGACATCTGTTAAATTTGGAACAATACAGAAAAGATTACCATGGCCCGAAGTTCCCTCTCCCATCGTACTTTCCATATCACACCACACCAAAGTATCACACTCTGCACCTTCGATGTCAGCACCCAGGTGGTTGAGGACAGTGACTGTGTGGGGATGCTGATAACGACACAGAATTACAGACCGCTCTTCAGTGGCACACCCATAGGGCCGCGCTCCACGACTCTCGACATGCACAAAGGACAAATTCATGGCGGTGCATCTTTCCATGTTCTAGCAGAAGATTCACCCTCGTTTTGCACATTTCGAGAGTAGTGGAGGGACGCCCATAAACTGTTGAACTTCAGACCCAAGATGGAATCCAGATGCGATCAGAGGAACAGAATAACATAATTCTGAAATAATTACTTGGGGCTGGTCAGCTCAATGATGACATCTTGAGGCCCTCACCCTTTTAAGAAAACAGAAGGAGGGAAAAACAAAAACAAAAAAAACACGGCTATCAAATATCTGCGAGGATTTACCCCTCGGCATAAGGCCCTGCTGCAGGCATGTGCCCGCCCTAAGGGAAGGCGGGCCCCTTCAATCTCAATGTGCCTGGGACTCGTCAATTTTTGCAAATCTTGGTGGGCATCAGACAGTTGCCACACGCCAGTTGGTTACATCTGCCTTGCTCGCGAGAATCAAAAAATTTTGTGAGCCTTCCAGGCTCTTCCAGCAACGTGGTCAAAGCAGGGAACACAGCACGTTTGTGCCTGGGTGGTTGGGCATGCCTAACCAATTCGGTCCCAGGCGACTGTCTGAACGGGCCTGGGCGGAGACACTTTGGCCGAGACTGAAGCTAGTGGAAACTCGGTCTCGATGGGAAAGAGCAGGCCGTGCACCCAACACTTTCGATATAGGAAAGTGTCGGGCACCGGGGAGGGGGGTCGGGCACTT